AAAGACTTTTCTGTGTGGGAAAACTGCTTGTCAATAATTTTGTGAGTGAATTTTGAAATAAGTGCCTGTAACCTGTCATTATTCCTTCCTCTTGAAGTCAAGAGAGAGTGGATGAAAATTGAGCATGTGAATTGAAAGCAGAGTGAGTGTTACGGCCTTATCGACCTCAGGTAAAATTACTATTTTAACTTGTAATTATTTTTCCATTCAGAGGTCAGACTATGTACAGTACTTACTATTCTGAAGTGCAATGTAAGCAAATTGGTATATAAAAGTCGTTACCAGTAATGCATGTACAGGCAAAGGAACCCTCAGTCACTAATACGAGCATTGCTTTGCTTTGCATGAGGTCTCTTTCCAGAAGGAAAAGGAGTAGGGAGAAAACATTTAAAAGCAAAAATAAAAGTATGACGAGAACATACTGTGAGCCTAAACAAAGGTTTAGTTGTTAATAGGCAAGCAAAACATTTTGTTATATCCTAACAATTTATAGATGAATCCTTGCTGTAAATGCATTAAATTATGTTTGAAACTGTCTTTGTGTGGTGTGTGTGAGAGAGAGGGAGAGAGAGAAACTCAGAACATTTGTGAACAGATCCTTTCTTGGTAGTTCCTGATTATTTGCTTAGGGATTGTACATGGGAATTTTCCAGCAGATTATGCACTTGGTTCTAATTTCAGAGAACATACATTAATCCTACCTTGTTTCAGGAAATATATGGAAATTTTGTTTATTTATTTAGAAAATTGCTATGCTGCCCCATTCACCAAAGCCTCGGGGCGGCTCACAAAACATCAATTAAAATATAATACACTTGCTCTTGGATATAAAAACATTAATAATTTTCAAAAGATTCTGGGTTGGGGCAGTCTTTTATTTTGGGTCGCACTTCCTCTTGGTTATCTCATGGAGAGAGACTTTCTCTTAACCTACAGACCTTAACTCTCTTCATGTTTAGCAGTAGCAGACTTTTGACAGTCTTGTTTAATTGTGACAAACTCTTTTTCCAGAAATGTGTTTTTTTATCCACAGTCCCGCTTACGCATAGTAAGTTAAACTAAGATCATGTGTTTAGCACACAGTACATGGATAGCACTTACTGTGGGTGAGCAGAAAGTTGATTCAAAACTATTGATAGTCAATTTTAGTAGATCAGCAAGTATTTCTGATGCCCTATTGTTTGACAAGTATGGCAAAATTAATCATTTTTTTCCCATTGGCCAAATTTATGGTGGGTAAAACCAAAAGAGATTATGAATCCAAAAGGATTTCTGCAAACTGGAGAGAATAGGTACCACAATAGCAAATGTGGTTCTATGTAAGCAAGTGTAAAGTACTGCATGTAGCAGCAAATTCCCAGCTTCAAGTGTAAGGTAGTGGGATCTGAGCATTCCGACTGACCAAGAAAGAGATTTTGCGATTTTGGTAGACAGGTCATTGAAAATGTGAAATGAAGCTGCCAATGTCATATTGCTGTTATATAAAGTATGGTGTGAGAGTACTTAAAAATTCTAGTCATTTAATCCTTTTTAAAAAGTATATATACCTGCCCAGACCCTATGATCATCTGCAGAGGTCCTTCTCTGGGAACGCTCTGTGAAGGAGGTTAGCAATGTTGCTACCAGGAGAAGGACCTTCTCAGTGGGAGCACCCCGACTGTGGAATCTGCTTCCCAGAGAGGTACACCTGGCACTGACTCTATTCGTTTTGACACCAGGCTAAAACCATTTTTATTTTCCCAGCATTTCCCAGCAGGACATCTATTACATCACTGGTTGATATGTCACATATGACATATGAGATACGAGATATGACAGCTACGAGGGATAGCCTCATATTCACAGTTCGATCTGCTGCAATGTACATTCTTTATGTAGGGCTGCCCTCATGCTTGGTTTGAAAGCTGCAAGCTGGTTCAAAAGGCAGCAGCCAGGATGTTGAATGAGGTCTCTGGCTATGTGCATATTTGATCAATGCTTAAGCCACTGTACTGGCTGCGCATTAGCTAGTGAGCCAAGAATGAGGTGTTGCTGTTGGCATATAAAGCCCTGAACTGCCTGGAAACAGGTTACCTGTCAGATCACCTTGTTTAATGAAGTCCTGTGTGATCATTAAGATAATCAGAAGAGACATGTTGTGCCGTGACCTACAGATTGTGGTTGCTATGTTGCAGCAACCCGGAAGCAGTCTTCTCCATGGTGCTGGACACCTTCTGGAAAGACTCCCATCTGGTTTCAGGAGGTACAAACCTGAAGCCTATTTCTTTACCCAGCCCTTCCCTGAGTGAATGTGCTGCCCAGTTTGTTTGTAATGATGGTGTTATATATAGTAGTTAGTTTTATGTAGTTAGTAATGTTAGTACTGTTTAATATAAATGTTAAAGAAAATATTGTGTATTTAATTATATTTTAATGTATACCACAATTTTAAATGGATTAAATGTATTTCATATTTTAGTAAATTCATTAGAGGAATTTTCAAAACTTGGTAAAGTGGTACATGTGTATGAATATATTAAATATATGAAAAAGTGACATTTTCAAATAGGAACTGCATGGTTTTTGTGGGCCTTTCTTGAAATGGAAATACCTAAGGTGATATTTGTCTGAGCTATGACTGGGAGAAAGGGAGCCTTGATGGTAGAAAAGCTCAGACTTCTCTGTGCTTACTATTTATGAAGCAAAAATGTTCATAACTGCATTCACACAATTGTCATATCTAGTTCTGCACTGAGTCTAATCATTCTGCTGAATCGCTATACATAGTGGCTACTTATAAGTCTGCCAATAGTTTTTTTTTAACTAGGCACTATTGCTTTGATGCATACTTCATAGCAGATTAGGCCTTTCACAGGTATGTCTTGGAGAAGATACTCTCTGCTTGACACAGATAATTGGACTGCTCTAAACTGCATTTCTACATTTGAAATTAAAGACTGTCTGATCTGGGAACCACCAGAAAAAAGAAAATTTGAACTTGTCATTCTCAGAATGCTGGAGTGTGGCATTCTTCCCATAATTAAGAAAAACCAAAGGAAAAACAAGTGGCAGTCAGGAAATTCTGACTGAAGCAGAGTATGAACACATTGAATTAGACAGTTTGATTCAAGAGAAGGTGGAGTGTTATACTTCTATTTTTTCCATTTAATTCTGTGAACAGTTTGTTTTGGATTATTTGGGATAGGTTTATATATTCTTCCTGCAGACATAGAAAATATTGATTTATACTAATAATTGATGTACGAAACACTTAAAAAGTAGGAACTACGTAAGAAGATACACTCAATCAAAGGTAACAATCAAATGTATATCTTCTCAGATCAAGAAAGATGTGGCAATATTCTGGATGGGAAATAAATTTAACATTGTGTTCTCCCAAGCTTTTTGACCATTGCTAATGATGGAATAATAATATAGTGTACTTTTTTATATATATATTGATTGCTTGTTTTCTTTCCCCATGTCATGAGCTGCCTAATTAACACAGTCACCCTTGCTGGGCACAGGATGTTGTAATGTCTGAACACAATAACGTTGGGTGGCCAGGGTGTGAAACCCATGACTCAGTGGTTTGTTAACCAGTCCAGCCATCCTCGCTCATCAGATCTGGATGTCACAGCAACGCATGCCTGGCAAGGACGATTATGCTAATTAAGTTGGCAAGAAAAAGCGCACACAGGGAAGGAAAATAAGCTGCCATGGCATATCTTCCACTACCACCCATGATCATGCAAATACACCCAACAACTTATATAGGCATCAAGAGATTTTTGATTCATCCCTCACTGATCAGATATTCATATCTGGCTTGTTAATGCGGTTTACGTTTCTATTAACTTGTTAATGATCCAAGGCAATCAGCAAAGATGTGTGGCTGAAATGGCCTGGGATCTGTTGGATAAATCAAGATGCAACAATATAAAGAACCGCTGAATTTGGCCTGGATGGGGTTGTACTTTCTGGGAGGAAATAGTTTACTGCAACTCCCACTGCTTCTGGCCTGAAGAGTAAGAGATACTGTTTGAGTGAGCTCTGAAGAGGACCCTTCCTTAAAATGAATGTTAAAGATTTGTTTCTAAAGCAGAGTCTATTTGGTTCTGTTAGGTACAATCTACCTGCATTGAAACACAGGGTAGGTATATAGAAATAGCCAGAACTGGAATCCTTCGAACTTTAAACTTCCTTAGTCTAACATTTGCTAGCAGGAATGTCTGAAAGTGAAATACTTAGTGTGCCATGGTTGTGAATGTTTAGATAGACCTCCTGTGTGCTCATCCCTCACTTTGGAGAGGTATGAGGGACGAGTGCAAGGTCATGGAAGCTCTTGCATTTTATGTTTTATACCAAGTCATAGAATTACCATAGAATATTGGTACAGAGAGAGAAGTCTCATGAAAATCAATACTGTAGAGTAAAGGTATTTGGAATTGATAAAGCAATTTTAGTTGTTAGGATAAAAATTTAATTTTCCCTAAAAGATGTGTCTGTGGTGTTTTTTAGACATATAACTAGCTACATTTTTTTCTAAATTTCTTATGAATTCTAAACGGTGTTATTTTTATTATTTGAATTTTAAAAGTGGGCCTTCGTTTTTTTTTACCATTGTATAATTCCCCTTGCTATATAAAAAAATTTCTATTGTTTCTGATTCAATGTTTGCACTGGCTGTATATCTTACTTTTATTTAATCAAATATCATTCTCCTTCTCGTTGTGCTTTAAGCAGTGTCCTATGTAACCCTAAATGTTGTCGGTTCTCACAAGACTTCCTGTGTACTACGTAATTTGCTAATTTGCATTTTTATTCCTTAGTAAACTATCTTTGTGTGTGATATATATTAGTGTCATTTCATATTTGCATATGTGTAATTTATTCACAACTTTTTGACTTCCTGGTATCATTGTATATTCAACCCTGATAAGCAGTTCCTCTCCATATAACAGTCATTAAAAAAAATTCTAGTGTTTTCTGATATTAATAGTGGTCTGTTTAATTTCTAGGCAGAAGATGAAGACATGAGTAATGCTGTACCTGCGGCATGTGGAGAGCTAGCTGTGATTGTGGTACCTTTTCTTCCCAGAGCTGCCTCCATCGAATGGCATGTCATTGCAGTACTAGATGAGCAACAGCAAAAGCAAAAGTTTGTCCTCATGAGGTCTCTGGAGAACTGCCAAATTAAGTGTGAAGCTGTACAGTCCCATCCCACCCGTACTACAGCTGTTAACATATCCGTAACCATAACTTCACCATCAACATCTGCAATCAGTTTAGACACAGTCCTGTGCAACATGGTGGAAATGTTTAAGCAAACTGTAGAGAAAATGTCAGGAGATGGTGACATAACTCCTTTGGCTTTTAGAACTTTCTACCAGAAAAATTCTTTTGAAATCGAGGCACTGAAAACAGGTAAGTCTCTGTCTTGTTTACCTGCTATTTCAGGTATCTCAAAAAGGCCATGGTTCACTAGATAGAACGTAAAGAATGGTATCCATTTGTGGTGTAGCAGTAGTGCTAATGATGCTGCACTAGGGTAAACCAGTGCTAGCACAGTGCCATTAATGCTTCATAGTGCAAAGGGAAATAGTGATTATTTATGCCCAATATTCAATGGCAAATCACCAGGTGTTTTTTTTTTTCACTAGCGAGCACTAATGATGCTCTTGATTAGTGCAACTTGAGTAGTGCTAGTGCTGCTTCTCCACTAGATACCATCCAAAGTCCAAACATCTCCCTCTATACTGATCTTGGTTATGCGGACCACCTAAATCTTTCCCTGAGTGCACTTTAATGCCAGAGTGTCATTCCCTTTATCTTGTAGCCCGGAGCTTGATTATGTTTTTCACCTTTTTATGTGGAGTAGTGAAGCCTAAAAGGTCCATATCAGAACTCCATGTGAGCTAAGTCTCTTCCTGGCTTACCCCAGAACTCCTTTCAGTGCCAAGGTTCACCCAAATATCCAATGTAAGTGGCATCTTGCAGCCATTCAGTTCACAATGTCTCATTTGTTCAAGTGTTCCAAATATTCAATTTTCAACAGGAGGTATATGAAAGTTGGTAAGGATATATTCCAGAGTTAGCAGTGCTTGTTGGAAATGTGGGGAAACTCTAGGCTGGTGGAAAGGGTGTGGAGCTTTTTGGGCACCCCAGAGAGCCAGGTTGGGTCCCTGGACCCAATCACCCAGAGCATGCACAGAGCAGTTTGCTGAATCCAATCTAGTATTTACTTCTAGGAACTCTCCTTAGGAGTATGTTTGACCCCCATCCTTTTGAAAAGGGACTTTTGGAATGTGCATGCCTCCTCCCTGCATGCCAGTCCTCTAATTGGGTAGCCCTCCTCTCCCAGCATTTTGTCTTGGGGTAGAGAGCCATGGACCCACTTCATCTGTATCTGAGAAACTTTCCTCTTCCAAGCCTTTTCCCAATAGCTGTATATCCTGATCATTTTCAGAGACTGCCAGAGTACCTGGGGAATGTGATGAAGTTGCGTGTGCTGATGTTCCATGACAATTGGAGAGAATTACAACAAGAGTCAGTGTGGTGTAGTGGTTAAGAGCATGGCACTGGGACTCAGACAACCTGGGTTCTAGTCCCCGCTCAGCCATGGAGCCAACTGGATGACTTTGGGCCAGTCACAGACTCTCAGCCCAACCTACCTCACAGGGTTGTTGTTGTGGAGATAAGATGGAGGAGGTGAATGATGTAAGCTGCCTTGAGCCCTTTGTAGGAAAAAGGCAGGATATAAATAAAAAAAAAATAAAAGAAATAATAATAAATAAAATGCATGGAAAGAATAGGGTTTAGCAGCATCTCTCCTTCAGGAAGGAAACTACTAAGGATTTGTCTGTATGGAAACAGTTGCTTAAGATTGCAGTAGCTCAGAAGACAATGGGTATCTATTACCATATAACAAGGGGGGAAGTGTGTTCTCTTTTGTGGGTGTGCAGTGGAGGATAATGTAGAAATAAATATTTCAAAAGGAATAGCCATAATTTTCATAAGATGTGAACTGGACGCAGGAAAACCTGCCAGCTTCTATATAAGGGTTTGCATTAAAACCTTTTATTGCATTTTAGATAGCAGACACACAGAAGATGGTTCAGCATGAATCAAACATATGCTAGAATCTTTTACTGTGCGAGGAAACCTCTTGTACATATCTGCCAGGAATGAGCTTAGCTGCCAATCTCATTTTTGTCTCATGAAAGTAAAAGGGAGTTTTGTATTGTTGTCAATGTGGGTAAAGATCAGGCCTCTGTTGGTGACTCACACATGCGCAAACCTTTAAAAAAAGAAAGCAAGGATATTTGCAAAGCTCAACTGGTCCATATTAATTAGCTGACATAAATGTTAGCCCTCAAAGACTGTGCTGTCCTATTTTTTAAACCTAACCTGCAGCACTATTCAGAGGAAATCCAAGTTGACATTGCTTAATAGATTTTAAATATAAAAATAGAAAGTGATAAAAATGTGGCATAGAATAAGCACAGCTAATGCACAAAGCAAGGAATGTCTGTAGCCTGACAGAATGTTATTTGTTATACAGTGCTTTGTTTTATGAGCTAATAGAACATGCGACTAGGTTTTAAATTATATCATATTTTTCTTCTCTTTCTGAATCTGAAATGTTACAAGAAGTATGTAATAGTTCTTGCAATAAGCTATATTTTCTTATATTTGATCATGACATGATTTTTGCATTAAGTATAAGGATTGTTTGATGCACTTATTTTAGGTAACTTGATCCTATGAGCAGGGGTGCAGTTTGTTACATAGAGAAGGTAAGCAGCTTAGGGATACTCCCAGATCTACACTGTCACTTGAAGACCAGGTGGCCTCAATGACACAAAGTGCCTTTTAGCAACTGTGGCTGGTTTGCCAACTACAACTGCTGGTACACAAGTATAGTCCATCCAGAGAGCCACAGTTTGGTAACCAACTGATTGGATTATTTTAATGCACTGTATGTAGCAATTTGTGCAGAATGTGGCTACCAGAATTCTGATTGGTGCAACCAGACAATATGTAAAGAGCTACAACTCACTTTGAATTCAAGTTCCTGTTTTTCACCTTTAAAGCCTAAAAATTCTTGGAAGCCAAATACCTGAAGGAACACTTCTCCATTTGTCTGTTAGCTCATTATCTTACATGTTCAGAGGAGGCTTTTCTTCACAGGAAACTTGCTCTCTAGGAACAAAACAGAGGGTCTTCTCAGTGATGGCACCTTATCTTTGGAAAGCCCCTCCCTCAAAGTTCAGGTCTTTCTATCAGTCCAGCATCCATTTATTTGCCCAGCTATTAAAGTTTTAAAGCTGGTTTATACATAGACTCCTTTGTTTTGTTATCTGATTTGTTAAACTATTTTTAGGGGCTTCCTATAACCTCCAAATTCGGAGCATTATGGGCATGCCATGTAGGATGTGAGGAGCATGGAGGTGATCTTTGCCTCCACACTTCTCCCTCTCTGACAATCAACTAGGCCGGGATGCTATAGATGGAAAAAGACAAAGGTTGATGCACCATCAGGATACATTGCAGATGTTGTCTAGAGACCATAGGATCATTCCGTCACAATTGTGTGACATTGTGTTTGTGCAGTCTTTCAGGCTTTTCATGTCTCTTGTATACTGCCATGGCATGTGTTGGGATGAAAAATGGTTTAAAAATACCTTTAATAAATATATTGAACATATGTTTGACAATGCAGGAACACTCACGGAACTATTCTATATCTCACCTTTTCATGCTATAAAGAAAGCTTGATTTTATTTGCTAAGGAAGAGGCAGGAAGATGCTAGATCAGGATAAACTGGTGTATCTCTGGGAGGTTCTAACTCAGTCTTTTAATGCTAGCAACAATACAAATCTTTTTTCTTTGTCCTAAATTAGTCTGCTGAAATCAAGAAAGCTTTGGGGAAAATGGGAAAAAAGTGCAAATTTCCCTCTCTGATTCTGAAAACAAAAACCAGCCTTCAGAGGCACCTTGTTCTGCCATTCTTTGTCTTCTGTCTTGAGCTATTATTTTGTACCTTGCTGTTGGTGGACCATAGAGTTATAATTTTAAAGAGTATATTCCATAAGTCTAAAGTTCATCCAATCCTGGCTTACCTATAATGATTCCAACAAAGCTTTCTATATAACTGCTTTCCAACAGACCCTCTTGAAAATTGGGACACAAACACCTTGAATAACCAAAACACCAAATGAGTTTTAGCAATCACTTTGTTCCTACAGAACCAGAATCATAGAGCAAGTGAGACAATGAATCTTGTCTCATTGTCTCACTTGAATGAATCTTATTAGAACTAAATGACACATGCACACCTCACTTTTCCCTTCGGCTTAGAACAAAACAAAGTAAAGCAACATGTTTTAACATATTTTTAAATGAGAAAATATGCCAATGTAAAATAATAGTTTTTTGTGTAGCTATGATTCCTGTCTAAGAACAAAATGAAGTTATTGAAGGTGCTATTGATTGTAGTTGTTAGATTATATCTTCTTGTTTGAACTGTGCCCACCCCTGCAAATGGGAGTAGGTTCCTGCAATTCATTCTCTTCAGTGCACACATGAAGGGGATGGAGAGATGCTTTGCTTAAGTAGAACTTGAAATTATTGGGGGCGGGGAAAAGGCAACTCTGCTGGAAATCTCAAATGAGCTGCTAATTAAAAGCATGTATCGCTCCCCCTTTTGTCACAAGGAATTTCAGTGTTCATTTAGCCAAGTCCGAGTAAATTAGAACAGCCCATTGCAGCTGACAAAGTAAGATGAGAACTAAGAATATGTGCTCTCCATGTGTTGTAACAGATTACTGGGAAGTATTATAGCCAATGTTATTGATGTCAAAAGAAGCTAAAGGTTTGTGATGCAAATGTGAGAGAGATAGCTTTCTGTCAGCCTAAGATGAAATGTAAAGTTTTATTGAACCAAGAGCAGTCCTGATGGTGAACTTCTCTGTGGCAATCCCTCATAACATATGAGAGCATTATAGGCACCGTGCTGAGACCACAGGATGCGTTGGAAGCAGGGGGATTAGATTAAGCTGACATATATACTTAGTAGGATGCTGTTACGCTTTTAGAAGGCTTTAGCATAAATTCTGACCATTTCTTTCCATATTCTCATTTACATAGCACATTAATATAAATAAGTCAAGATGATTTGCCTTTGCCATCCAGGCAACTAGGTTATTCCACAGCATGTGCACATTCTCACTATTAGGACTTTTGCAAGCCTTGTTCATACCAACTATGCAAAAATATATCTGAATATTTAACACGGCTTGAAAAAGATCTCTCACATTACATAATCCTTAAAAAAAACAAATCAAAAGAATAAGAGGAGATAAAACTGGGCAACATGATAGAATATCTATCTAATCATTGATTTGATTTGTAGCCCTGAACC